GGCTGCTGTGGGGTGTTACTGGGGAGCTGTAGCTGGTGTGGGATATTATGAGGGAGCTGGGGCTGCTGTGGGGTGTTACTGGGGAGCTGGGCCTCTCTCCTTCCTCCCCTGCTCCCCACTACTTAGAAGGAGGTTATTGAGAAGACAGAGCCAGGCTCGTTACAGTGTGGTGAAGGAAATGGGACAAAGAGGAACAGTGGGCATAAGTTGAATGGTATAAGGAGAAGTTTTTTTCCCTGTGAGGACTGTCCAGCAGTGGAGCAGGAGCCCAGGGAGGTTGTGCTGTCTCCATCCTTGGGGGTTTTCAAGACCTAGCTGGCCAGAGCCCTGAGGACACTGGTGGAGGCCGAGCTGCCCCTGCTCTGAGCAGGGACTTGGACTGGAGACCTCATGAGGTTCTTCCCCACCACAATTATTCTGTGATTATGACAGGACTCAGTATAAATTTTGATATGTTAAAGAAACCCCCAAATGTTTATACCAGGGAACATAAGCACGAAGCTGACACAATTTAAAACGAAGTATCTAATGAGTAATTGTTTCCTCCTCTTCCCACACATGCCTCAGCCACCATCGGCGTGGGCACCTCAGGCGCTGCGTGACCAAGAGCTGAGGTGGCACAATGAACAAAAGCAGAATTGCTTCACCTAAGCTGAGAAAACTTCAGCAATTAGGTGGCATACAGAATAGGTGAACTGAATACACAAAATACACAAAACCTGAAATATTTGAAGTGATTTGGATAATGGAAGTATGGGATTCACACAACTAACTCCCTGAACATGCTCATGGTCTTCCTAGTCTACTAGTTTCGTGACATTCAGGGTTGCCTGCAGTTCATCTTCAAACCAGAGAAGAATTTGTAAAAGCTTTCTTGAACTTGTTTATGGGTTCTTGTTACTCAGATGAATGCCAGGTCTGTCTTTTTATCTTCTTTTTTTTAAAAAAAGCTTTTGACCTCAATAACAGGAGGTTAATTGTGCATTGCACAGGATACTTCCTCTTACTGGTTTTCAATTTTGTTGTGTTTCACTTTGTCTGAATTTTTTTTTTTTAACCTGTGGTAGAAGTGGCTAAATGGGAAATATCTAATAAATTGGAAAATAGGAATGTGTCCGTTCATTATCTGCATCCTTTTGTTGTCTGTCTCCCTCATTTGTGTCTTTACAAACTGGAAGTCAGTCTGACTTCTGTTTCCTCATGTGGCAGATTCTGTAGGTTCCTGCCTATTTTTATTCTCTCTCCTAGTTCTAACTGTAATATTATTATTGTTGTTTAACACAGCGGTGATCGCCAGTTAACAGTCCCACTCATTTGTATATGTGCAGCATAACATTTCCTGTTACTTCCTGTTTTGATGTTCTGTGGTATACTTGATCTGTTGTAATTCATTCTGCTGTTAAGTTTATTTGGGTTTGGATTTCATTTTTTTTAAAACAGAAACTTTGGTTTGGGTAGATACTGCAGTTTAACCAAGTTGCCTCCATACCTCTTTGCCTTAGTCATTTGTACCTTTTAGGCTGTGTTATGGTTGCCTCGACAGTCTTTTTGGAAACAAAGGATTTTATTTTCTCCCCTTTAATGTTTTAGTCTTTGTTACTCTCCTAATTCAGAAAGTCCTTCCTAACAGGTAGCGTTTCTGTTGAAGGTTTAGGTTTTTAGTAAGTTGCTACTTGCTTCTCCAGGAAACAAATTAATTATGTGGTAGTACTTCTACTTGGAAGTTATTTGTATAATTATTTACTGAACCAACTCCAGATTTGGAATCCTTTCTCTTTGCATTCTTTAGAGATCATTTTTAAATGAAACAGCACAGCGTAAGACGTTCTGCAGCCATTAACTTTTTACTTTAGGTGCAAGGTGGGTAATCTGTCTACTTACAGTAACATTTAAATAGTGTCAGTGTCCCACGCGAACTGAATGTGTTCTGGAAGTAGCTTTGAACTTCTGATACAGTTAGAATCAGAATCCAGCTATTGCTTGCTGTAAAACAAGTGGTCTGTACCATGTACTAATAATTTCTAAGAATATTTTGAATTTCTCTTTGGTCATGTTCTTCTGTCCTCTTCCCCAGGCCTTGAAACAGCAGCAGCAGAAGCAGCAGCAATGCAGAGCAGGCATGCCCGTGTCGTCTAGTCAGCACGTCCTTCTGAAGGCCGTCAAGGCAGCCGGTGACTCCACTCCTGCAAAGTCTGGTACGTGGCAGCGGCACTCCTGCGTGTTCTTTTACTGACGTGTCTCCCTAACTTGCCTTTTCTTGTTCTTGGGGGATGAGAGAAGAAAGTGGCTCTTTTCATACGGTGTTCTTTTTGTTTCTGACATAGCCTAGCTTCTGTTTCCCTGGCTTTGATTTTGTTAGGAATGCATTCAGCTAAGAATACATCTTGAAATAGATCTTATTGTGCTATTGTCTGGTTAAAAAGCTTCTTTCTGTGACAAGTGTCCTCCCCAATAGATGCCTGTACGCTGTGGTCAGGTACTTCTCACGGCCTAGCAAATTAGGTGGTGTTTATCTTGGTATTTCTTTCTTTCCAAAGTGGCTTCTCATTTCATGTCTTGTTCCGAAGATGTGCATTCTGATCCAAAAGAACCTCAAGTGGTTTCCCGTGTTTACACTGCAGTGGAAATTAATGAGCTCGCTGCTCTGCTCTTGTTCACTCAGCAATGCATTAGCTCCCTTACCAGCAGCAGTGTTTCCCTAGTTATCATAAATTCGTGGTGGTTATTTCTAGCTAGTTTTCTCTACGTCCTTTTCAGTGTAACTGATTTCCATGATAAGCTCCTGGTTCTGTGAGCATGACTCGAGTTGTTTTCTTTCAGATGCAAAAAAAAATGCCCCTGTGTTTGTATGGACTGATTTTCACGTTGTACAAGTCTACAAGACTTTGTAGACTAACACTGTCATTATCACTCCACAATTTGTCACGTCATCTGTAACCATTACTAGTGGTGGCTCTGCATTGTCTCTGAGATCACTGAGCACCACTTTGTTCACACTCATGGAAGAAATCAGAACAGCGGGCCTGTCAAATCAAATGGGACATGTTCGGCTGGTGACCTGTGTCCAACCCTGCTGATAGCACATGCATGAAGCAGTGTGTAAATGCAGGGTAGCCGTGTAGTAGCGCTCTCCCAGAGTTAAGCGCATTGTGCTCAGGGACCTCCAAAGCAAGAAGAGATGGCTTTGTATTTCACAGCTCAGTGGGGTTTTCTTCAGTGGATTTGACTGAAGGGAACTCTGCCTTTGTAAATGTCTTGTGGCAAACACCGCCCTGTAAAAACTACTCATTTTTGTTTGTTTTGAGCCAGGCTCCTTATGCCTTTATTTGATTCATTCTAATTATCAAACAGGCAGTGAACAACTATTGTTTATTCACCAACTTCTTGCCATTTATGACTTTTGTAGAGATCTCTTTTTCAATCTGAAGAGTCCTACTGCATTATGTCATTCCTCATATGGAAACCTATATGCTTCTTGCAATAGAGAATGAAAATTGTACACAGTATCCAGGGTGCAAGATGCATTTTGAATTTGTATAGCATCATTTTGATAGTCTAAATTTTGTTGCTCTCTTCTTAACAATTCCTAGGATTCAGTTAGCTTTTTTTTGACCTCACCAAGACCAGGCATTTTCCTAGAACTGTTGAGATTCTGAGACTCTTTCCTAAGTTGTTATTTTCTACTTTAGGACCCAACAGTATGTATGTACGGTTAGGGGAGTTCTTTTTGTACATCATTTCATGGTTCTGTACAGTGAATCATGTCTGTTCTTTTATCACTCAGCCATTCATTGTCATGAAGTCCTTCTTCACCTTTGATTTAATTGACTGGTCCTGATTCAGCTCAGAAAGATGATGATCATGAAAATGTAACCGTTGAGGAAGATGCAGCAAGAATGCTCACTCCAAAAGGCTTCCGTCAGGTGTTTGCTCACAGGTGGAGTGGCTGAGACTGGCAGTCATGGAGCTTGCTGAAAAAAAGGGAGGGAAAGGAATCAGATCACAACAAAATTACATCTGGAGTCCCAAATGCTAACCTATTTTCAGTCGTCTTAAAAATGACTTCTTGGTAAAGCCTGATAACATGAGTCGTACCAAACCATTACCATACAGAACAAAGGTGTGCCCTCTTCATTCTTAGAGCACCTATTAACAGCATCTCTTCCCAGTCCCACATCTCCTTCCTCTTCCCGTCAGCCCATCAGCCAACATGCCTGTGCTTAGAGCAAGAAACAACTGCATGAGGAGAGAGAAGCTGCATCTCTGCTGCTGAGTTAATCATTGCCAAGGTACTGGGCATAGGAACTGGAACCCGGTCAATCCATCCTGCTCAATTCCCTGACGTAGCTTTGGCTCCGGAGAAGCCAGCAGTCTCCTAGGCAATCCTTGTCACGGCTTGGTGTTCAGCACCAAACGTCATTCCCTGCAGGCAATCTGAACGTGGCCAACCCCGTGTGGGAGAGACAGACAGCTTAGGGATGTGAGCACGGCCACTTTGGGCTAGTTGTTCTTAGGGCCAG